AGGAGCGGGGCCTCGCCGCCGGCCTGCGCGGGGACCGGCCGTGCCCAGGGAGCGCTGGTGGCGGAGGGAGAACGGGGCTCCAGAGCATGAGTGCCCCCCTGCTGTTGTCTGTTATTTTTGATATGCCCTTTTTTGACATAAACAGCTTCTGCTCCTTCCCCAGAGACAGGCACTGAGGCAGGGTTGAAACTGAGCTGGAAACGCGAGTTTTTGGTATCAAGAAAGTCTGATCTGCTGCAAAAACTGCAGCGTTGGGCAAAGGGTGGGGACAAGGGGAAATACAAGAACTGGCACTGTTAATACAGTGACTCAGAAAAGTAGGATTTGTTAAGACTTTTGAAAGCTAGCAGTATGCAAGCTTTTTAATGTATGCCAAGTACAAGAAATGTTTAACCTCAGTTGGAGCTGGAGTTGAAGCAATAATGACTTCTCAAGCACAATCACTTGGTTTTGCCCTACAAAAACCCTTTACCCGGGTGTTGCTTGTCTGAGAAGTTGTGTGAGAGAAGGAGAAGAAAGCAAATACCAAGAACCATCCTGAATGACTGGGAATCTGCCCTTGAAAATAAGTAAATTGGCAACAAAACACTCTTGTTTTATGCTCCTAACTAAAACCACTCATAATGCTCCCAGGTTTGACTGACTACTTGAAATCAAAAGAGATCACAGGAACTGTCCTGTTCTGCTTCAAAGCAAATACCACACATAAAGGTCTTGTAAGTAAAACTGAGAAACCTTAAAGTCTGGGTTATATATAGTATGGAGCCGTACTATAATGGATTCTGTTTCTGTAAGCAAGGCACTTTCATAAGTTATATATCAACATATAACTAGTTAATAGTTAAATAACTAGTTAACTAGTTAGTACTCTTCTTAGACTAGGTTTGAAGTAAAAACATAACAGAGAACTAGTCCTAGAGTCCCAGACTTTGTAAATAAGGTAAGTAGGGAGATTTATGAAGAAAAGTTTCTGTATCCATCCATTCAGTGTTTCATACGTTGCAACAATACATACCACTGTTGTGGTGGGACTCTTGTAGAACTCTAGTGGTTTAAATAACTTTGTTGCTACTGTTTTCAACAAAGAATCAGGCAATTCAAAGTTAAAATAGTTGCCACCTGTATTGTTTTACTGCTAAAATACCAATAAAACAATGCTTACTTTATAATCAATATTTATTTTCAAGGCACAATATTTCCTCTTGAAGTTAGGCTACTGTTTTGCTATTAGTACCTGAACACAATGTAAAGGTAATCTTGAAAGCTAATTTTGATTTTTTTTTTGTTTTTGCTTAAGCATTTAACCAAAAAGGGGAAGAGAATTAATAACAAAGATTAAAAAAAAAGTAGAGTACACCATTGAGACAGTAATGATCTATAAGAAATTCTGTAGCCGTTATCATCTGATGGTTGTCTGCATTTGGGATTTTCTTGGTTCTGTTTGCTAAAGCAAGAGCAGTCAGAGAAAATCATAAAAACCACTTTAAGGCCAACTTAAAAATATCTGCTTCTAGCTCCCCCACTTGTCAATATGGTAAATAAAGTATTCTCTAGGCAAATTTAGGTCTCGAGCTAACGTGTCAGTCATATCTGGGGATATACGCTCACAGTATTTTCTGTAGGAACCTTATCCTTTCTTTGCATAGGTAGATCATAATCGTGCAGGGAAACAAATTCATTTTCTCATTCACTGAACTCTTCTCCCCAAGCTGTCTTCCGTATTTGGCATAACAATTGCGAAGCCTCCAAATACAGAACTAATGTGTGGGATGTCATTTGCTGAGTGTTCTCTTTACATTTTAGTCTCTTCAATTGGACTTGTTAAGAAATTTCATCTGAGAATAGGGAAAGGCTGGTAATAGTCACATGCCTAACTGCAAGCTGGCTAGGGAAAAGAATGAGGTATTTTGGGGCAGAGGTCATATTTAGAAAATGTATTACACTGGCAGGAGAAATGGGGGAGGAATTCCTCATAAGCTGTTAACTTTCTTATTAAATTAACTAACGTTCTGAGTGTAGCTTACGATGTAGCTGAGTCTGGATGCGTTAAGTTAAACTATTCCATTTCAATTTGATGAAGGTTGTTGCGACTGAAAACACTCCCAGCTTCCTCTTTCTTTCCGTGTCCCTTCCTTTCATCCTCTTCCCCACTGCTCCCCTTGTCAAATGGAGAGAACTGAGCAGAGACACCAAAGAATAATTTCTGGAAGCTACCTGTTGTGAAACACTGAAACTGAGATGTGTACTTTACTGTAGCAGATGAACAGTTTAGGAAGGTCAGATGGTGTTTACATGACACTTCTGAAGTTTAGAAATCAGTCTGGCTGAGAAGAAAGTACACCATTTCTTACCCGCTTTTGTCCCCTACCCCTGTTTCTGGCCTAGTGAAACAAGCAATGTAGTAGTAAATTTAGGCCATATATAATCGACACCCACACAGATAGCACCTGTCCTTATTAAAGGGTAGGTCAGTTTAAAGGTGCAATAATTTAGCTTTTAAAAGTTGCTTATTTTAAAAGAAATGAATAAACTTCTGAAAAGCAAATATGTGGGAGAGCTGCTATGATAATGACTAAGCACAGTCATTATCCTTTCATTCCTCTCTCAGCATTCATTTGAATTCATTCATTTGTCTTCTGTTCCTGTAAGAAAATGAGTTTTTACTACAACAAAGCTATCTGGAAATGAGATAAATCTTACAGAATTTGATAAGAAATGTGATTTATTTTCTGAAAGTGTAAAGTATTCCAATATGAGTTGTGGCAATTTAGTAAGATCAGTGATCAAGTGGGGTATATGGGATAATGATACTTTAAACCGTGCTTACTGCAAATTCACTTCCCTGTGGTGGTCCCATTTGCTTCTCTTTAACATGCTCGGTACCACATACTGTTTGATCAGTGGTAGTTAGAATCGATATTTGTTGCAAATAACATGAACGCTTTACATGGATAGAAACCATATTTAAAATTGAATGATATGGGTCTGCGTTATTGCACTAGTTATTTTTCATATATAGTGAGGAGCATATAAACTCTTCATATAGGGAGGATTCTCTTTATCATTACAGGGCTGGTAGAATTCAGTATGATTTTACATTTTGAAATACAAGAGGGCTGCTGCCACGAAAAAAAATTTTGGCCGACCAAGCTGGCCCAGTCAGCTTCAAAACTAAACCACAAGCTCCTTGCACAAGAAAGTAAAAGTTTGCATAGTTCTATCCCACAAATGTTGACTTTATTCTGATGTTTTCAATCTATTTTGGTTTTAGGATCTGAAAATGCTTGTGAAAAGACTTCATTTATGTTTCTGCGACAAGAGTTGCCTGTAAGACTGGCAAACATAATGAAGGAAATAAGTCTTCTTCCAGACAACCTTCTAAGAACACCTTCAGTTCAACTGGTACAGAGCTGGTAAGAACATCATCATTTCATACCTTTTAAAGGTTGGAGGAAAAACACACTCCTATAGAAAGAACGTTTCATGTGCTCGTTACATGAACATTACTATTTAGACTAAGTAAATATCCCAATGTGACATAAATAAGAAACTGAACTTGCAGATACTGGAAAAACTTCTTGGAGCGATTAGAGAACCCACAAGGGAATCAAATATCAATAATCAACTAAGCATTGCAGATTGTCACGCATGAGAATTCGTTAACAACAAAAATTCGGCACAGCAATGTTTAATAGGGGCTTATCTAAAATGAAGGAGGTGTCTAAAGAAACCAACAGAAGCAGCTAAATGTACAAAATGTTTTGCAAAGCAGAATAGAAACCACTTAAAAGACAGGTTGTTGCAGATTCAGACTAAAGGTATAGAATATATGAAGAAAGAGGAATAGCACCCCCCCCCCCCCCAAAAAGCAGAAGCTCTTTATTGCAACAGGAGGCTATTAGAATTAAGAATAAAAATAAAATTTACTTTCAAATAAGGAATTTAGAAGTAGGCATAAACTTTTCTAGGATAAATGCAAAATAAAGAGATTGCTTGGCAATTGCTGAAAGTATATAGATATTTGGAAGGGCTTTTAAAGTAAGAGAACAAAGTCTACCAGTGAAAAATTGGGACTGATTAGATGAATATAAAAAGAGATCTCAGTGAAGATGAAGGTTCTCAATGAACCATGAAAGCTAAAATTCTCATGATACTAAATGACGGTGATAAAATGGGAAATGAGTTCCACTTGGACAAATGCAAAGTAAAGCATAGAGAGGAATCTCCCACCCACCCAGTATGATTACTTGCTTACAATCAGAAAAGAAATTTTGGTGCTACTGTGGATATTTTTCTGAGTACGTCAGTTGATGGGCAAGAAGGCAAATAGATTGTCAAGAACTAAATAGGAAAAGCGGGGGCGGGGAGAATATAACAGTACCACTGTGTTAGTCCATTATTCCTCTGAATTGAATGCAGATTTAGTCACCCCATCTTGAACAGAAAGGAGCAAGAGGGATAATCAGAGGGTTGGAACAATTTCTACATGAGAGGAAATCAGAATTCTTCAGCTCTGAAAACACGTAGCTAAGGAAAGAGGTGGTAGAAATACTTAAATCATGAACAAGCTGAGGAAATTTTTTAATATGTAAATAAAACAACTACTTGGGCGATTGTCCACTAGATTTAAAGCACAAGTAATATCTTTTATATGTTCTAATTAAATTCTGGAATTAATCGCTCTGGAAATTTTGGAAGACAACAGTATGAATGGATTCAAAAGGATCTGGCAAAATTCATAAGGAATACGTCTATTAGATATATCGAATACAACGCTCTAGATGCAACTAGCCTTAGAAGACTATTAATTGCTAATTGAAGGGAGTTGGGGGGCATATTAGAATTGGACTTTCTTATGCTTCTTTTAAATTAAAGGTATGTTCAAAGTCTTCAGGAGATCCTTGACTTCAAGGACAAAAGTTCAGAAGATTCAGGAGCTGTTCATAGGTAAGGATTTGCTGTCATGTTTATTGTTGTTATTAATGTTATATAAAAGGACTGGCAGGAAAAGAAGTGGCTCAAGAAAAATTTCAATTGTCTTAAATCTCTACAGTCAAAGTAACATCACCCCCTGCCTCTGTAAGGAAAGTGCATTAGAATGTGAAACGTAGCACTTCCTTTTATGCCAAATTGTTCTGGTCTCAGGGCTTTTTTTTTTTTTTCCCCCAACACTGAAAATGCTGAAAGTACATTAAGCTTGACCGCATTTTTACCAACTCCTTACTTCTAATGTTGCAACTGATGTATGGAACTTTACCACTGTAGAGTATGCTGGGGCATCATTGGCTGATATTAGCTGCCATTTGACAGGCATGGCATGATTTGTATGAAAATGATTGGCACAATTTCTCTTTTTTCTTGTGGAACCATTATTGATTGTTCAATGTAAGTGGCTTGAAATGATTTATATGCTATCAAGACTGACCTGCCTTCTTACAGCGGTAGGCAGATCTGTGATGTTTCTGTACTCACTTTAAGGTGAAAACCTAACAGTGCATTAATTTTAGTTTTACAGATACTGTGATAAAAATCCGGAATCGACACAACGACGTAATTCCTACTATGGCTCAAGGAGTAATAGAGTACAAGGAAAGCTTCGGCATTGATCCAGTGACCTCTCAGAATGTGCAGTACTTTTTAGACCGTTTTTACATGAGTCGCATTTCAATTCGAATGCTCCTTAATCAACACTGTAAGTGCTGTTGTTGAAAGGAGAGGAAATAATACGTGTACCGTGTCAGTATATTTGCCTTCATTTTTAAGTGCTTAATATGAGCTGCAGAGGTTCATATGAATACGCTTCATTTGCCTTGCTATTTATAAACTTCTGTAATACAATTCTTAAAATATTTATTAATAGTTGCTATTTTAAATATGCTAAAGATTGTAGTCATAGAATGTTAATAAATTTCTATTCAGCAATACCAAAGACTCAAACTAAAAATTATAAAATTTTATTAGGTGTTAAACATTATTTTCTTTGTTGGCAGCTCTGCTATTTGGTGGGAAAATTAATCCAGCTCATCCAAAACACATTGGAAGCATCGATCCTAACTGCAATGTTGTTGAAGTTATCAGAGGTAAATTCAGCAGATAAGAACAATAACTCTGTAAAGTTGTATGGATGTCTATATTGAGAGCTAGTACATTCATATAGTGTTTAGTTCTTTCTTACCTGGAGCAGAAGTTTCATTTCAAATGTAAAACAGTTTTGTCAGTTTTCCCATTAAGCCCAGGTTTTGTAAGAAAATACAAAAACTCCCTGACAACGTAGAGCGTTTTCAATTTGTAATTTTATTTTCGGCAAACTGTAAAAAAAAAAAAAAAAAAAAAAGAAAGGGAGGAGTGAGGAATTAAACTTTCTGTGTTTTTATCATAGATGGCTATGAAAGTGCTAAGAGACTTTGTGATTTATATTACATGAGCTCTCCAGAGTTCATCCTTGAAGAGTTGAATGGTAAGTGAACATGGGATGGGGCGCTCTCTTGAATGTAAAAACTTCTTCTGCAGTACCTGATACTAAAATATTCTCCTTCCATTTCTCATATATTTAAGGTGTTCTCTATGTTTACTGTCCTAAATATGAATAGGACATTTTTTTTGATCTGGCAGAAGGCTTCCCCTATTTCTCCTTTTCTTTTTCAAAATTGGGATGTTCGAACGAGTAGCGAAGTTTTTGATTGTACAGGTATTGTTATAACAGATTTTAACCGTTTCCTCCCTTCCCCACCCTACACTCTTCATTGTAACCATGACTCTTACATCTCACACTCTCTGTGTTCTCCTGTGACACTTTGAAATTTATACTAAACATTCTATTCCAATTTCTCTTTCTTATTTAGCTATCAAGTACTTGTAGTTGCAATTAGATATAGTACACTCAAGTCTCTGTAAAAAATTATTTGCACCCATTGGCTGCGATTTTTGAAAAAACTGTTTACAGCTGTGCTGCCATGAACTCAGATCAGCTATCATCCTGCTGAATGCTAAAGAGCCTCTCTAACACTGCTTACTGGAGTGCTTTTCAAGTTATTAAAAGCCAAGTCCAGACAGTGCTATAAAAACAAGCAATCAAAATTGACTCTACAGGTAATTGCAAGAGTCGAAACACACCCACAGTAACTTAGCCTGCAAAGCTAAAGGCAATGAAACTGTGGCCTTACCTACACGTGCCAGTTTTTTTACTTCGTACTTTACAAAATATATCATTCTTTTTCTAGGTTAAAGATTTTTTTTCTCTCTCCATCTTTGAGCATGATTACTAAAATCATTTGTAGGGAACTATCAGTCATGCTAGCTAATTCTCTGTACCAAAGAGTCATTTAATGTTGCATGCACTCCAGAGCCAGAACACATAGGTTAGTTTATAAAAAGGGAGTGGCCTTTTGCTCAGTGAATTGTGAAGGTGAGTTAAACCTGAGTCAGGCCAAGTGCACGTTCCTTGTTGCAGTTGTGAACGGAGGCCCTTAAATTAAACGCTAGGCATGTGGTTGGGGATCTGATAAAAAGATTAATAATTTGTTGAACTGAAAGGACTTTCATGGCCAGTAGAACGTTCAGAGCCGCTTTTCCTTGATTTTGGTGTAAGGAATGTGTTCCCATGATATTGTTTCTAGAAATTACTCTAAAAAAGAAGATTTGAAAATTGTATCAGTTTATAGACAGAATTGTCTATATAATCATTAAGGTGTCTTGTTATATCGACTAATTTCTAAAGTAATCCAAGAGTAGTCTGTGCTGTTGTTACTGTTCGGTGCATTAGAGTATCATAGGATAATTCAGGTTGGAAGGGACTTCTGGAGGTTTCTAGCCTGACTAGGTTGCTCAGGACTTTATCCGGTTTAATTTTAAAAAGCCTCCAAGGGCAGAGACTGCATAATGTCTCTGGGCAACCTGCTCCAATGCTCAACTGTCCTCATGGTGAAAAAGTTTTTCTTTATATCCAGTCTGAACATCTCTTATTTCATCTTACACTCATTGTCTCCTGTCCTTCCACCATCTGAAGAGCCTGGCTCCACAGCCTGGCTTAACAACCTCCCTGTAGGTATTGGAAGGCTGCTGTTATATGCTCCAATCAATGTTATCACAGTTGGTTTAAAGATTAATTGCTGAAGAAGCAAGCACACTTAAAAATCTTGAGTATGAATTTTGATTAATACACAACATTTTAAAAGATTTCTGTTCAAATTTTCCTTCTTTTTGTAAATTCTTTCAACAACTAATACAAATGTATATTTTGAATTACTGCTGGAATGAATAAAGGGTATCTAGTTTGCCATTTAATTATTTAGGCCTTCTTTTCTCCAGCTAAATCACCAGGACAGCCCATGCAAGTGGTATATGTACCATCACATCTCTATCACATGGTTTTTGAGCTTTTCAAGGTCTGTGCAATTACCGTTACACAATTTTATAAACATATTTGTTTAGTGAGATAGTATTTGTTTGACTTTTTGAAACAATTCTAGATAGTAACATGCTTTTTGCAAGTGCAAGCCTCTAGCTATCTGACTGCAGGAAGATAACTAAATATCGCATAGAAAATGAATAGCTTTGAAAGATGCGTCTTTTACTTACTGAATACATCTGACAACTTCAGCAGTAGGCAGCTTTGTCAAAATCTTCAAATATATAAAGGCACTAGTTAATAAAGCAAGGGAGAATAAGATAGACAATTTTTGGCCACCTTTAAATCTGATATAACATGAGAGAGGGGTGGTATACAGCAATTTCCTCAAGCAATTTCTTCAGTCCTCCTACTTTTCTTCGTCTTTGTGTCATACTGCATATACAATGCATTATAAAGAATTATCCAAATAAAACTCTAGTAAAATATTTAGCTGTTTATTCTAAAATATTTATATAGTTCAAGTCATTGTATTTACCTTCTAATAAATAACACAAATACGGATACTGAACAAACTGGAAATATGAAGCCGACTATTCTAAAACTAGAGGCTTTTGTCCTGATTCTGAAATAAGCTGATAGAAATAATTAATTTATTTTTCTAAATTGATGTCTTAAGATAATTAACAGCATGGCAACAATAGGATTTAAATTCTTGTACTTCAATTTGAAAAATCCAGAATGCAATGAGAGCTACCATGGAACACAATGCTGACCGATGCATTTATCCTCCAATTCACGTACATGTCACGTTGGGAAATGAGGATTTAACTGTGAAGGTACTGCTTTTTTGATTACTTAGAAAGTTACTTTGAGTAGGGTTTTTTTTTTTTTTTCCTTGCCACAGGCAGCATATTATTAACTGTAATTAGTGATTCTAATTCCGACCGTAGCGTGCATCTGATTGTGTAGCATGTAAGGATCAGTAGGAAATGCATGAAACGATTTCATAGTCATAGTGAAGGGACCATAATGGAATTCTGTGCTTTTGTCATTGTCATTTTGTGCCTAGCTTTTAGGTTACTATGACTGAAAATGAAGTAGCAGCTTTCTGCAATTGTAATGCCAACATTTTGCAAGTAAAAAATGACACATATGCGTTGTGAAACAAAATTATTAAAAAAAAAAATGAGCGTTGCATATTCCATATAGATCATATCTGCCTGAAAGATGGTTTCCAGAGAAATTTCTTTCTTTTGTATGACATCCATGTTGAATTTCAAAGACCAGCTGCAAGTAAATGTCTCGCTCATAGGTCTAACTAAAGTCTAGTAAAACAACTCTTAGCAATGGGTTTTATCACATTGTATTTAACTGGCACTATTCCTGAGGAATGAAGTTGAAAATATACAGAACTTTGCGTTTGCTGAAATCAGTAGGTTTAGATGCAGGCTTCAAACAAAATTAGTTACAAATAAAGTAAACGTAATGCAAAATTTAAGAATTGTCTTTCTTCCAAGGGATTATGAATGCTTCATATGGTAGTATTTTATTTAAATGATTTGGGTGAGGGATGGAAGGGGAGGATTTATCACCCTCTGGTCATTGCTGTAGCTGAGAGATCAGAATTTAAGAAAGCCCATGATTTTAATAAGGACAACTTTATATTATGTTTTATTTGAACTTTCTCTGGATCGTTTTTTGAGAGCAGCTTTTTTTTTTTAAAAACATATTCAGGGACATAAATGGTACATGTTCCTTCTTGTTCAAGATGAGTGATCGTGGCGGAGGTGTTCCTATGAGGAAAATCGACAGACTGTTCAACTATATGTATTCAACAGCACCACGTCCCCGTGTTGAGACATCACGAGCTACACCATTGGTATGTAAATCTTTTGTACTTTATCATATTGGATATGATTAGTAGTCACAAAAGAAAAGCATATAGCCAAAGCTCCTGCACTCATAATTTTACAGGTACAATGAGTATGACCATTTGGATGTTACAGCTTAATTCAAATACTGTTCTGAAAATAACTGCAAAATTGCATAAAACCCTAAAATGCTGCTGCTGATTTAAAATTTAATTCGATGTTCTTGTCTTTCTGTCAAATGTAAAGATCAGCTATGTCAAGCATGTATTGCAGTAAGCATAGGACTCTAAACTCCTGCTGTGGCCCCTGAAAGAAATGAAAAATAAATATAGCTATAGTTCTGGATCAAGTCTGTATTTTATTTATTTCAGTGTATGGTACAGTCAATTGTACCATTCTCAAAAAGAACAAAGGTGCACAGATGTGATGGGGCACATGAAGAATCTACTTCTGTCTCACGTGAACTTAGGGAACTTAGTTAACTAAGTGAACTTAGTTAGACCTTACTAAATTTTATAGAGGCACAAGAAATATAGTCTTAGTCTCTCAGTTAGAACCTCTTAACAGGTCGTCTTGAATTTGTGATTACATAGTATCGTTCACATCAGGATTTTTTTTTTTTAATGCTGTTTTCTCTATCTATTTGACTATGCAACTCACTAAACACTAGATCTTTAAATGAAAGTATAGTGTATGGTCTGCCAGAGATACTACTCAAATTTAGTAGATGATAAAAGAAATTATGCTTAACAATTAAAGGCTATGTCTGGCTGCTGCAGACAAGGCCTGCTGGAATTTCAGTATAAACTGCAAAAAAGTTGCTTCCTGAACCTTTTCATAAGGATTGATGACAAAATGCATCTAAATCTTCTATGTTCTTAAGATTAGCAGCTCCATTCAGCATAAGGCAGTTGTTGGTATACCTTTCTCTGCAAGTGTCAGCTCTTCTTGGAAAAGCCACCATAATACAAGAAATGTTATCTAGTAGCCCCTTTAACAAGGGAGTTGATCAGTTTTCTCCTTGTAATCATAATCATCCATATTTTCTTCCATTTCTGGGTAAACATAAGGGGACATTATGCCTAACATTTGAACTCCTTGCATTACCATCAAGCATCATGTATATAGTTCGTCTCGTTACCTTTTAAGTAAGTCAAAAAAGAAAAAAAAAACCACTGTTTCAGATTGGTGCAATTAATTAATAGAAATACACTTTCTTTTTTCTTGCTCGCTCTCCTTCTCCTGGATCAGGCTGGATTTGGTTATGGCTTGCCCATATCACGTCTGTATGCACAGTACTTCCAAGGAGATCTGAAACTGTATTCCTTAGAAGGGTATGGTACAGATGCAGTTATTTACATAAAGGTATGACTTAATATTTTACCATTTTAAAATCATAGTAAACTCTAACTGCTAATGAATATCTGTTCTATTAGTACAGCTTTGATTAAAAAATTAGTCAGCTAATGTCTTCTCCTTTTACAGGCCTTATCAACAGAATCAGTTGAAAGACTTCCTGTGTATAACAAAGCAGCTTGGAAACATTATAAGGCAAACCACGAAGCAGATGATTGGTGCGTGCCAAGCAGCGAACCCAAGGACATGACCACTTTTCGCAGTATATAATTTTTTTCCTTAGGAGTTCGTAAGTAGTAGACATATGTCTGTAAAGGGAATTTTTAAAAAAAACCTGGGTTAGACCAAGCAACTAACCCATATTTGATGTGTGAAAATCATTTTAAGTGGAGTAATAGGAAGCTTAGTTCAAATTACTGTTTTCTGCCAGTACGCAGAAGACAGTGCATACTTTCAATTTTTCAGTAAAGAAGGCACGCTTAATTTATTTGTTCCACCTTCTATTTACAACTACTTTCAGTAGGTAAATCTAGGGAGCAGTAATTTCAGGTTTTATAGGGACCAATGCAACCTACTTTGTATCTGGTGAAAAGAAGGTAATTCATACCATTACAAAATTCTTTTAATAGAAGAATTATTGAAAGTTTACCAGAGGAAATTTGTCATTATAAGCGCCTACCAGATTAATGAAAACCCTATGTAAGAAATATTAAGCTCAGTGCTGTATCATTTGCAGCTGTATGGCACTTTTTAATTCCTTGATTCTTAAGCATACTGACATCTAATTTTCTGAAGTTAGAAATTTTACCTAACACTTTATACTTCAGAGATTTTTTGCAGCTGTAGAAATAACCAATTTTGGGTCTGTAGAGGTTTAAAAAAAAAGAAAAAAAAAGATAAAAAGCAGTTTTAGCTGCTGCCACTGGTATAATTTATCTCAGGTATGTGGTATTAGTCATAGTTCTTTATAGTACTTGGTTGTAATGTGAATATTTAATACATGTGAAAAACTTATCTTGCCATGATCATTGTGAACTAGCACACAGTGTTGGCTTGTGTACAGTAAATAAATAATGTCTTACAGTGTTTGCTTATATTTCTGCAGGTAATACCAAAACACAGTATCAATGTAATAGCACCAGCAAGATTTCAGATGCTGGGGAATGTCAGGTTACAGCTGTCAATGAAAGCTGTTTTTAATAAACAGATTTTTTTTTTTTTTAAATTTGCCCTTACTAGGGCATCTCTGTTACTTTGACAGTAGACACTAGCTTCTCAGGAGTATTTAAAAAAAAATGTGGAATTAACAATTTTTTAAAATACTTTTGTATTTGTGATGTGCTTCTGACCTTGTTTATGTAATAATTTGAAGTTAGATTATAACATAAACAAGATAAGCAGGCTGTGTCTATCAGTCAGAGGTATAGTGTCAAAACAACAAATTGGGGAGGAGACTGAGTATTACATTTCAGATACACCATCCTTCTCTGATGAAGGATGCAACTTCCCTTGATGCCTACTGTGCCAATTTTGTTCAAATCATACACATCTGTGTTGCACCCTTGATTCCTATCATTCCTGAACATTATCCTATCATTCCTGAACATTTTGGCAATGATGCAGTTAAAGATGTTTAAACGCTCAGCCTTTTCCCAAGATAATACATCACAACAACTTCTGTGATTCAGTATTAGCAGACATGCATGATGCCTCTCAAAGACTAAACCTAAAGTTTGCTAGCTTACAAGAGCAGCTTAGAGAAGATAGTGACAGAGCTACTACCACAAGTGAAGGGAATAGCTGGTACGTTACACCTTAAATCATGCTATTCTAGTTGTAGCTGAGCCAGATTAAAGGTTGTGAACAACTCATGCCTACTGCCTTCCTAACCCAGTTCTGCAAAACAATAAAATAGTTTTATACCCTGTTCAAGCTAGCCTGGATCACTTTAATAGGAATGAATTGCAGAATGACTACATTTGCAGGTACACTGACACTCTGAGGGAGGATTAATCCAGCTTAATGGTAACCTGAACAACACATTTCACTGTGTCACTCAAGCTTGTGTGCACTTAGCAAGGTCCCTCATTTACTTACTTTACAAAGATGTTAGGTGGTGGCTGTATGATATACCTACCTTTCAATCTGCATGGCTACAAGGGCGAGGACTCTATAGCTGTTGTCTTCTTCAAATTGCATTTGCTGTAAAATGTGGCATTTGCGAAAGCTGGAGGAAACATTTGCAGCTATTCCTTTGCAAAACAAGAGCTGAACTTTATAGCAAGGTTGTTGTTGTTTTTTTTTTTTTTTTAAAACCCTCAATTCTGAAGGTGAACTTTATTCCCACTCTTCTGCTAGGTTTTAAATGTTAAACTATTCAAATAACTTCTTAACTGATTTTAGGAATATCTGAGAAGTATAAGAAATGTTTCTGAAGAAAAGCTACAAAAACGTTTCCTAGAAAGTCTGTTGAAATATTTTATTGAAAAAAAAACCTTTTCATGCTGTCTCAGCTAGCTACAGATTGAATTCTGATTATCAGAGTAACTGGCCATGTACTCATACTTCATTTTTCCCCCCTCCTCCAATGATTGTGGGGAAAACAGCGTAGTAAATTTTGGTTTACAATGTTTAATCCTACTCCTAGGTTTAATCTATTTCTTTTGATTTACATAGATTACAGCCTTTGGTTCAGAAGGGTTTTGTGTTTTGTTTTTTTTTTTTTTTTTTTTTTTACATTTTCCTTATTGCAGTGAAGTCATTGTTTAAAGTGAATTATTGTAGAGAAGTAGTGTAATACCCAGCTAGCAAAATGCTGAGATTCATAGTTTTGAATGAAAATGACCTCAGTCTTGCACTGTGAAATGAATCTTGATTTATGTTAACTTAATTTTTTTTTTGAAACTCACTACATTTATTCAATAAAATTAATTTTAAAAATTAGACTTTCAGTTGAGTGATTCTTTGTGGCTTGATGCTAAGCTTGTTCTGTGGAGTCAGCTTTCTAATTTAACATCTGACAGATGTTAAATGCTGTGGTCTGTGGTAGTCAGTGCTCTTATGCCCATGTACCAAGTGGGCTTATCATCACTGCTACAGCCCCATTCAACTGCAAGAGCCCTGCACACAAGCAAGCCTTTGAAGGCATTATTTCTACTAGCTTGTTTCCTGAAAAACAAACTCTCCACAAGGTGCAACATCAAGCTCAGCTGGCTTAAAAGAGTAAGGTAACACATGTTGTACCAATATTCCCAGTTCTAGCTGAAAGCACTTCACTGAAAAATAAACTCTTGGCTGAATTAGCAATGGTGCAATTTTAGGCAAACGACTAAAGATCTGGCCAGTCCATATTTTTCCTAATTCTCTTCTGTCAATAGGACAGCTATTCCCCTCTGGCTCATAGTCTGTAAGCTTTGGGTACAAACTCAAAGCTACTGGAAACAAAGTAAATAACAGTTAAATCTTGACAAAATAACTGTTTCTTAATGCACAGAACTGAAAATGACTTTTAACCACAAGTTCTTTTAACCTTTATTTTGGAAATGCATGGTGTTCAGGAGCATTTCCACACAGTCCTTTTCCTGAAATTCAGAAAAGATAGTATTTATACAAAAAAATTTGTGAAACACCAGTTGGGAAGTTCATTCATTTAATTAAAATGAAAAACAGTCCATAGATTTAAAGGAGAACTTGGTCCACATAAATTAATTATTTAAGCTTCTAGTGTTCTAGTCTACTCTATGATGGAATTTATACTTAATGTTTCTGAAATAATCTAATTAAAGAAGTGCTGTTGCAGTATCTCTAGAAGACAGTATGTAAAAATACAAACACCAATTCATGTTCTAAACCATTCTGGGACTCAAATCCTCCTTTAAAGAGAAATAATCTGTAGTCTACAGTCAAACACTTAAATACAATGCAGATACCCAGTGCTCCAGTGATATTTTTTCCTACAATTTTTCCCCTCAGTATTTTAAGTTTGAAAAACAGCATAGTTTAAAATTAGCAAATATATAAATTTGGTCCGCAAACATCTTGTAGCGAGTAGAAAAGAGAAATACATGTATTGCAAATTGATCTTATTCGTAGCATAAATCTATGTATTAAACTATAAAACTATGTATTATTTAGGAAAAATAGGTTAAAAAAGATCTTATTTATATGTCTGAGCCTTGTCCCAACACCAAACAGGGAAGTGTACAGAAAATTTCATGTTATGATTAGTGCAAGTAGTTTGTAAAAACTACTTAATATTTCTGGTTATTTTCCCAGTAAATTGCAACACATGGAATTCAAAAACAATGCGTTACTACAGTGGATTTAGAATAAAAAAAATGGACCATCACTGAGAAATACAAGAGTTTAAAGAAAATACTTCATAAATTTGAAATACATGCTTTCTTTTTAAATTAATTTGACATTACTGTTTTCTTAAACTTAATTTTTACTATACAACTTTAGTGGCAACAGATAAACAGACTGTCACAGGCTGAATTTGTTGGCAGGATTTTTCTATTGTCCCTCTATCAGATTCAACTCTATATCAAGTGCTAGTTGACTAATATTGGAATGACTTTTAATACAATAGTCTACTCTCCACAAACATTTATCACGTTCAATGAAAAGGGCATATGGGGTTTTTTAATCAGTCTTAGAAGCTCAAATAGTACTTAAGGCAGAAAGTTAAATTATTGTCTATTAGTACAGGTAGAGTCAACTAGGAATAAAAATACTGAAAACATTTATTTCATTTTAATGGGTTGTAATGGGGAGGGACTATTATTAAAAAGTGAGAAAAAACCCAAAAAACAAAAAAATACCCCAAAACCCTACCATGTTAGACTGTTGCACTTTCCCTCCTCCCTCAATTGTACAGTTATATACAAATCTGCTGAACTTCAAGATGAAGCAAGCCTGTGCTAAGATAAAATGGCATCATTTTAGCAGCTTGATTCAAGAGTTGCTACCACTCTGCCACTCTTGCGAACTTCTCGCTCCTTCTTTTGAACTTTTTCCTTTTGTTTTTCCAGTTTTTCTTGTGTTTTTTTAATATCCTTAATTTTTTTCTTTATTGTTGATCGGTCATTTTGACTGGAAACTCCTAAAGCCTTTAGGGGAAAAAAGAAAGGGATCTTGTTACTAATTTTTTTTTAAACAGCAAAGCATATTGCTTAAGCATCAGCAGTTTAAGAAAGGGTTATTCTCTTTGCTACGAGATAGGTCTGTATTATTCAGATAAACAGACTAAGTCCTCAAGGGGACCGTAAATGATCATCTCAGTAATCTCAGTAACAGAAGGAAGGAGAAAAAGGTCTGCTCTTGTTTAGCTGTGAAATAACAGCTTCTCATTGCATTTTACATACAGAAAGACATCTGAAAATTCCTAATATGTATCACACTAAGAAAAGTAGTCTTTTAAAAATATTTCCCTAGTTTCTTTTTTACAGCAGCAATTTATATTCACTTGACTACTGTTTAACTTCTGTTAACTATATTTTTTTGTAAGCTAGGAATGCTACTGAAACTCTGATCTATCAGGTGTGGCTTTTAACTGCTTAAGAAAAATCCAATCCATGAAAGCCGATTCCAGAAAACTCATATTTCTTTTCAAATTGTATAGCAAATAAAAGCTAAAGTAACCGTGAATGGAAAAATCTCCAATAACCACCCATAAAAGCTTAATATTGTTAAAACAAACAAAAACCTCAACCAAATATTTACTTAGAAGAAAAAAAACGACTGGTCATTTTTTTTCTGCTTTCTGCTACACTTGAGAAAATGACACCACTTCAAAAAAAACAAAAACACAACAAACCACACAACAGTAGTTCAAAATCTTCTCTGCCACGTAACTCATTAATGTATGTTAACAGAGAGTCAATGAAGCTTCTCGATAACAAGAACTAAGTACTGTAAATAACCAGATTTCAGAGATATTTCTTGCTTTGATGATTTCTTGCTTTTGCACTATTAAAATAGTGACTATTAATATTTACTTTCTTTTTCAAGATGAATTTTTTTTTTTTTTTTTTTTAAAATCAACACTTGGTATGCTACTCTTTAGCCCGGCACTGCTAATCTTTAGCTCATCTCCCATGCAAGGGCTCCTGTTTCTTTTGTCTACTTTTTTGCATAGTGTACTGTCTGTCTGTATTTTGGGCCAACTGGACCTATGTTTATTTTAAAATAATCAAGTATTCAATGAGTAGTCAGTGCACTTTGACTTTTGATCAGCAGATGGCAGTATCTGATTTCACATTACAGACAGAGCTACAATAGAGAACTCCTAGCGGCATTAGCTGTAAATTAAGTTTTAAGCATCAAGATCCCAACTTTCTCAAATATAGACAATCATTGGACAAACTTCTGTCAAGTATGTTCTCTGTGTCCAAGGACACATTTATTTATCAACATACAGGAAATTTAGCGTACATATCTACTGTACACTATTGTACTGGATCTTGTTTTCACGATCTTATGCTGAGATGGACTGTAAATGCATCAAGCCCCTTGTGGAAATTATGTTTTTTTGACTTCCTCAGGCTGCCAAAGATAAAATATTTTATATTTTCCTATTGAAAAAGTGTCTTGTCTTTAATTTTCTATCAATTATTAAATTCGCATTGATCTGTATATTTCAAGTGTTTCAAAATCAGAATTCTATTCCTAAGAATTCATGAAGACAAGAAACTAGAATGACTTTATAGTTAAAAAAGTGGAAGCAAGCAGTGAAATTTTTACAGTTACAAATGTATACTGGGATAGCCACATACCTTTAACTTATCACTGTCAAGCTGCATCAACTGCTGTCCATCTACGTTCATAGCTGTGAACTCTGTAATATACTGCTCCATGTTCATTCCCATTAACCAGTGGCATACTTGCTGGGTTGTCCATTCCGAAATAGGTCTACTGTGCCATTGATTTTGTTTTCCTGTTGTTGCAAATTCATCATCTAATGCCTATCAATTGAGAAGAGTCACCGTAAGCAATAAAAAATGATAACCGTTTTACTTGACTATATGTTGAATTTAGGTTGCCAGTTGAGTCCGGGTAAATGCATTTTTAAACATGTTCTAGCATTTCTATAGTGCAAAGCTCCAAAATTGCTTATGTTTGAGATCACATCTTATAGTGAGTTTGCCTAGGGGTTTGTTATAAACAAGTGGACACCACAACATTCAACACAAATTAAGGTAGAGACACAGAACATGCTTTTCTCTAAAAAAGTCGATCTTCATGAAACCCACTCTCACAAAACAGCAGACGTTTGGCTTAAACCTGGCTTACCGTACCCCAAAAAATGAACACGTTTCCTCAGTCAGTCAGTCAAGGTAGCTCAATTCTAATATTAGATGCTATCTCACACAGCACCAAGAAGAATCAAGTAGCACTTCAGCTGTATTGCATGATATTTTTAAGTGAAGGAAAATTGGAATTAAAAACAGTTCAGGACTCAGTAAATCTGATAAAAGTTCAACTATATCTTTGCTAGATTTGCTATCTTTCTAAAAGGAGAGGACTTAATTCTTTCAAATAATCCCATCACATCAACGTTTTAAAGGGTCTACTCAGTAGAAGTCCATTTGAAAAGCATCAGAGCTAGTAGCCTTCCACTAAAAATACATTTCCCAGTTCACAGAGCTTTTGAAGCTCCTTGCTTCAATTTCAGTTGGCCTCCAAGGGGAAAAAGGTACTGCTGTTAGTCCTGAAGCACTTTATTACTTTGTCAAAAAAGAAAAACTACAAAAAACACAGCTCAACGTCTGTAAAGAGGAAGTTCTAATATGAGAGCTGAATCAGAGCAACATCAGAGTTACTTGAACCTTTATTAACCATCTAAAATGATCCCTCACTAGCTCATGGTGTAGTACAGGCTGCATTAGACTTATATTCCCAAAAGCTCTCTAGGCAGCTTCCACTATAGATATTTGCAAAACAGAAACCAAAAGTAAACTACTAAAACTAAAACCAAAGTATACTACTAAACCAAAAGTATACTACTACTTCCAGTGAGCTTAACAGTTTCATGTTTCCTCTTTACGAACAGTATGTGGTCAATGTACTGATGGATTTGAGAAGTAACCTTGCAAGTTTCAAGTGAACAACTAAAGCTCCAAAATCTGAGGATCTCACAAAATCCAAGTCCCTTGCCAGAAAATGTGCAAGAATTGATTGAGCACACCTCAGTAATTCCAGTAATTACAAGTGAAAGATTTTGAGACTTAGGCTGGTTAAATATGATGTGATTATACAATAAACTGGATCCGAGAGCGCAAAATGGAACAGCAAAGCTTCATAATGTTTGAGTTGAAATGAATATTAATCTTAAATTTCAAACATGTCAGAAGACTCCACAATTAGAATCCCTTTCGCATTTCCTAGTTCATGAAACACAGGACAATGGTTATGTTATGAGTTTGTGTAGATAAATACAACAGATTTGTATAGCAGACAGTTTGTGCTGAGGTCTTGAAATTCATACTATATGCATTTTCAAAGAATTTTACTTCAGAATAGCTCTAGTCTGGTCCTACAGATTCAATGCCCATTAGCAGCTTAAACATATCAGGTACATTTTCAAGAGTGCGTCTTCTGGTTTGATTTCCAGGATAAACCAACGTAAGGTTAAAGTAGGGACAATTAGGAGATTCTGCTTCTGGAGTGAATCCCTAATCCAGTTAAAATGCCAACGTAGACATAACAAGTGTGAACATACCCACCTTCCTGATGTACAAAAGAATAGCAATTTTCACAAAGTCACATCAAAGGGGTTTCACAGAATCATACTGAATCACAGAACGGTTGAGGCTGGAAGGGACCTCTGGAGAACATCTAGTCCAAGTCCCCTGCTCAAGCAGGGTCACCTAGAACAGCCTGCCCAGGACCCTGTCCAGATGGCTTTTGTACATCCCCAAGGAAGGAGACTCCACACCCTCTCTGGACAACCTGTTCCAGTGCTCAGTCACCGTCACAGTAAGAAAGTTTTTCCTCACGTTCAGACAGGACTGCCTGCGCTTCGGTTTGTGCCCGTTGCCTCTCGTCCTGTCACTGGGCACCACTGAAAAGAGTCTGGCTCCATCTTCCTGACATCCTCCCTTTAGATACTTAGATGCATTGGTAAGATCCCTGCCTCAGTCTCCTCCAGGCTGAACACTCCCAGCTCTCTCAGCCTTTCCTCATAGGAGAGATGTCCCAGTCCCCAAATCATCTCAGTGGCCCTTCACTGGACTTGCCCCAGTAGCTCCATCTCTCTCTTGTACTGGGAGAGCCCAGCACTGCACACAGCGCTCCAGACGTGGCCTCACCAGGGCTGAGTAAAGGGGAAGGAGTACTTCCCTCCACCTCTGGCAGGCCCTCTAAACCTACCGGTTCAGGCTTTGCCTGAAGTGATCTCTATAGCATTTGTATCAAGACAAGTGAGGCACAGCAAGTTTCCTATCCAAGCAGAGATGCTTGGCACAGAGAAAGAAGATTCATTGTATAAATTACTAATAAATGTTGAAAACACCTGTTGGCTTTAAAAAACAGCACTGTTCTTGTCTGCTTGAGTCTTGTACTCCTTGACCTGTTGCTGTAACACCAAAGTACGTATCAGCAGGACAAAAGCTCAATTTACGGCAAAAAAAAAAAAAAAAGTCATTCAAAACTATTATAACTGATGTTCATCAGGATTAAAACTAGTTGCAGAAACATTCTGAATCTAGAAGAATCTTAAAATAAATCTATGAACTGTTATAATCACAGTCATCTTTACAGATAATTGCAAAAAAGTATGGACATGGTTGAGGCCATCAACTACTGTAATTCAAATGCTCATTAATCAGTTTTGCCACTGATCTACGCTGAATACCATCAACACTAAGCCAACAGTGCGTTGTATATGACCCACTAAGTATTATGCATTGCACAGTTTTTCCAGCCTATAGGAAACTGGTAGCTTTGCTTTGTCTCATACTCGCAATTGCTCACGAGTAATACACAAGAATTGGGAAACTTCTAATGGTTCAAGTTTGACGTGAATCTCAGAATCGTGTATGTCTGTTAGCGACATGAAAGTACCAAAACATTTATTACCAGAACCATAAAGGATAACAATCAGATATACTGAGAAATGTGTAAAATGTTATATTCCACAGCTGGAACTCACTCACTAGTTTTAAGTTTTATTTAAACTGTGCTAGCCATGCAACAACTTCACTTCTATGATTTTAGAACATCAATGTTTAAACACAATATATTCATGTTAAACAGACCCGGATTTATTCATTTTAGCAGGAGAACGTGGTCGCCCTTATAGAATCGCAAGAGGCTCTCTGCATCACTTCCTCCCTGCAACATTAGAGCAGCTCATCACAGACTGTACCACGAAGGAACCCTCCAGACCGTGCTACTAATTTCACTTGGATCTTTGGCACAGCAGTCACCAACAAACTCCTTATATTTCAAATTAGTAAAGCCCTAGGCTGTATTGACTTCCAACTGACAAGTTTCTAAAGCATTCAAGGATTCTCAGCTAATGAGACTCAGCTGATTTCCAGCCTCCAAAGTTTAACAAGAGGCCCAGAATCTATTTTATTTTCCAGTAGAGCTTTAATACTAGAAAAGGCTTGTTACCATTACATCCATTGATTGTTGGCATTTCTTCTAAATAAACAATAGTATTTTAGATGACAACCTAACCCATTCATTCTTTAAAACTAGCGCCAGAAAAAGGAGTACCAAAAACTGAATCTGCATTAAAAGATTTGGACACCATCTCCTCACAAAGGTGAAGAAAAAGATTTAATCCTCCATGATTTGAATTTTTCACTACTGCATAAAGAAAAACATAGTTAAAACTATTTTTAAGAATAAGCCATTTTTCTAATCTAATAAAGAAGAGGATAATGTGAGGAATGTCATTAAGAGAATATGAACAGGATTCACAGTCTATGCCTCCCCACACTTCTGTGTGGATTTAGCATAATACCAAACTCAAGGAACTTAATGTAGTTCTAACACCATTCCCATTTCGACTTAAAATTGCTATGAGAAATTCTGAAACAGATGTTTAACAGTTCTCCCTTGTATTCTACTAAATTTGGTTGCTCTAAGTTGGAAAAAGATGCAGTTTCAGGAGAATATCATTATCTATTCAAACACTATTTCAAGATAGCTACATTTTTATTAGAAGATTCACACATAACTGCACCAATCAGTGCCAACCTTATCTCCACTATGGAGAAAAGAGCTTATATGGTAGACAGACATTTACTTTATGAAAAACGCAGAAGAGTGAGATGAAGAACACTAATTTTTAAGCGATGCTTATTTATCATTAAGTAACACCTATACATCATTTTTTCAATTGTCTACCTTCCAGAGGCAAAGGGCTGTCCCAGATGTTTGTATATCAGAGGAGTAGTCGCCAAAACAGCCACCACATACACACGCACTCAAAATCAACTGTGAATTCAGAAAGCAGAACTAAAATCACTTCGGAAGAATGGAAACGTGACAGAATGATGTGCTCCTGCATAAAAATGCTGGCAGTTCAGAAATCAAGTAAGGAAAGAAATACTGAAGGCTCTAAATACACAATCTAAAAGCAAACAAAAAAGCTCAAAAAACCAAAAAACAATACTATACTGTTTTGAAGTTTTAGCAACACAAATACCGTTCAAAGCTTGATTTAAGATAGCTAATAACAAACCTCTCTTGTTCCACGAACCACTGTTTAATGTTTTTCTTCAAACATTATCACTACCAGTTTGACCAGCCCTTTACTAACTCATTTCTGGAAAATGATGCCCCCCCCCAGTCTATAAAGGATTTCATTGATAAAGATGCCTACTAGTCAGACTTTGAATGAGATGATTATCTTAGAATAGAATGATTATCTTGGAGTGTTACAAAAATATAGATGTCAGGTTTCAGCTGTGGGCAAAGCAGATGGTTCTGCTAGGAGAATGAACACTGATTTTCGACTATCTACTTTCCAGCTCTATGTCAGAATAACTTTATCCTAAAGTTCCTTTTTTAAAAAAAAAAAAAAAAGACAAATTTAGGTTAACACAAACCTGCACTGGTGAGAGGGCAAGGTGAAAAACACTGCAATTTTCATTCACACAATAAGTTACTTCAGGGTAGCGTAGCAGGAAACATCTTATACTTAAGAACTGCAATTTGGTCACATTGAATTTATTCTAATTTTTAAGATATAACTAAGAGCAGAACACAAAGGCTCACATAACATTTTTCAGTCTACGTCCTTAGTTCACAGTAACAGCTTAGGATTTTTTACCATGTTCTTCAACGCAAAAATATGGAAATGCTCATCTAGTTTCACATTAAACAAAACTTGCTCTACTAAACAGACTGTAGTGTGAACAACGACATCAACAAGACACATATACACACTTTGAAACTCACCTCATTTGAAGAGAAGGTTAAAGTGTGTGAACGACTTGACAGATTTGGTTCTGTCACTAACCCTGAAAGTTCACAACTTGGCTTGCTATGGTATGTATCATCTATGACAACTCTACTCTGCAAACAAGTGGAAATAATGTTTTATTAACTCGCCCCCTTGCAAAAGCAGATCATCAGGTGACATTCCAGTAATCTTGATTTTTGGTAAAAAATAATACTATTGACTTTGTTTTAGATCATATATGAAACATATTCTCTACAAGGCGTTTGACTTGTTTTTGTTAATTTTCTGAATTTACAAATATGACAGTATATTTAAAGTAATATCCCCAATAACAGCACCTTATGTGGACAATCAGTCTTAACCTGAAGTTGTGTAAAAGTACATAAATGAATACACTGGGTTACTCTTTCAGCAGGTATTTCAACAGGCTTACCACACTCAAGGTGAAGCAACTTAAGATTCAGCGGGTGGAATTACTCATATCGGAGTTTGTATTCAACTGAAACCACTGCACAAGCACTACGAAATGTGCTTCAGAAGGTGGTGGTCTTCCGTCAACGCAACAAAAATCCTGACCAAACGTCCTGATTTTTTATGGTCATTAACAGTCTCATGACATGGATACGACCTTTGGGAAATTTCTAAAATTCAGAACTAGGTTTAAACTTCACATTTGTCCACACATCAAGTGACTGTAATGGACAGTGCAGTGAATAGGCTGTCTTTATCTGAGCGGTACTGAGAAGTGGCAGAGCAAGGAGCTTTCAGCAGTTTGCAGATCAGGGTTTAAATCAACTAGTTCATGTGCAGAACATGCAGTTTGCCTGCTCACAGAAATTGTGAGCTTCCTTTGAAATTTAAATTCTGACTTAAGATACTGTACTGTATCGCTGTGCAACTTCAATTCTGAGGTGACTACATGCAAGGCATAGAGTCATGCTATCTGAAAACGAAGCTGATATGAGAACTACCATGTAGATGTAAAATAGATGTATTTTTTTTTAAATAAATGAACTCTACCAAGGTATGTAAAAATCTTCTTTATAACTGAAGCTCTAAATATTGTAAAAACACTACAAAAGCTGAACATTTTACTTTTTAAAAGTCATTTAGATGCCTTTACAAAAATGGTTTAAGGCTGTTACATCTACAGTAATTACAGTTTGACAGCTGGATTAAATTACTTACAAGACAGAAAATTCTGCTCTGAAATGAGAATTCTGGAGAATATAATCTTTTTAATAAATGAATAAAATGCTATTAAAATAATTTTAAAAGTACATGTAACAAAGTAAATTTCTGGTCAGAAATACAACTAATATAAATACTATCATACTGGAAGAACATTAAAATCTTCCTAGCATTTACTGGGTGCACACTTAGCCAGCTGCCACTAACTGTATGACCTCAAGCAAGTCATCACACCAGCCTGTGACTCATTACTCTTGGCTGTAAAAGCTGAAGACCCTGCTGGGGCAGGGGGGCAACAGAAGCTGGCCCTGAAAACTTCACAGCAAGTCTGATAAGAAAACAGTACACCACCTACACCGCCTGAGAAACACAGCACACCAAACAAACAGCAGGTCAAGTGGCTTTAAAGCCAGCCAAATTTCTATCCTCAAATTTCTCCTCTTCTCTCACCATCTAAAACGCAGGAATTCACTGCAGCATACAATCAAATGCAATGAATGTACTTTGCATGTTTTGATTTAAAGTAGCAGCATACCACTAATTTACGTTGTTAAGAGAAAATGCTTTAAATGAATGCTAACATATGTGTATTTGACAGAATATTTTCTAATCTATCTCCGCTTCCAACTCGGATCCTAGCCTCCACGTTATTTTTCTTCAATCAATGAAAAATAATTATGCCGGAAGCATGCCTCGTACTTTGCTTTAACATGGTGCTATTTTTTGCCACGTAACACTACTTTGTTGCTTATCACAAGAAATAAGTAATTATTTTTTCTAATCAGCTAACTACACCATATGAATAACTTTATTACGTTAGATTTTCAGGAACGGCTTCAGACTTATGTATGTAAAAGTCATCAGAAATGAGACAGTACTTTTTCCATCAACTTGTTCTCAGTTAGTTTCAACTCACAGAGAAGAAACTGTTTAGCAGTTTTCCTTTCAGTCACCCTCAGGTGGCTCTTCCTACCCTTCAGAGCAATCAGGAACAATAACGAAGCAAAATCATACAGGACATTTGAATGGAACTATTTAACGAGACCTGAGAAAAATTATAAAGAACATCCAAGCAAAATAAAGCTGCTCAAACACTAGTTGCAGCTGCTTCTTCCCCATGTCTTTTTTGTTTAAAAGAAGTAATTTCCTTTTCAGGATTCAGAGCTAGCTGCAAAATATTTTTGATTCTTATTAAGGAGCACAGAGTTTTGGTGGAAGAGGTTTATGCAGGTACACTTCTCGAGATTTAAGATAGAAGGACAACGCATTGTGTACACAATACATAGCATGTACTGTATACCTAATATATTGACAATGTATTGTACCACAGTATTTTTCATTGGAACACAATGCGGCCAGAAATAGGTGTGAAATCTACGTTTGCTGGAGCAAAAGTTGAAGAGCTTCATTCAAACAGTGAATACAAACTTAGAAAAGATAAATAAAGCTCTGGAAAAATAATGAATGAAAACAGTATATACACATTTGTACTGCATCAGAGAAAGGGGCAGATTAAGAGACTAAAGGATTGTGTAATTTATCAATCCCAGAAGACTAAACAGTGGCAAATACTCAGATCACAGGTTCTTTCTTGTGTTTCCGTTTTCCTCAAGCAACAAGAAGCTGACTCATTACTTCAAAAATTCATTGTAAATTGGTGAACACTAATTTCAGTAGCATTTTAACAAAACAAAATCTTCCTGGACATAGTCTTTTTAAAGAGGTACAGAAAACAGTCAAAATATTACAGTCCTCACACCATCAATATTAAAACACAGCTCAGAAATTATACACAATGCCTCAGCGCAAAAATAGGGATTCTTACATGAAAAAAATTCTTATTTCAGGGTTTCTACTTTTACCCACTCTTGAAAAAGTGCTTTCACCTGATCGTATGAGATACTGCAGGCACAAGAGCAGTAAGTATTATTGAACTAACAACAAGAAATACGCTTCCCTTAAATTCTGGAAGTATGAGTTTGTCCGTTCTGGTATGCTGTTTTAGTAACAACACCCACTGCTGGCTAGTCAGCCACACTTCTTTCCCAGTTTTAATGTCTTATCATAGTGAGATTTACCTGCCAAAGCCTTGTTACCGTAATGCAAACTTTGTGATCAACTGCAGGTTAAGTAGTACAGAGATTAGCCATTGCATGAAGCAGCAGCTGCTGTTGCATTACCATCTATAACAAAAGCCCCCAGATGCTGCAAAGTAAAAACAGTCTGACCTTGGAGAGGTGGAGAGAGGCAGAGTGTGAGTTTGGGATCAATTAATGTATGAGAATCTGTTAAAGATTCAGGGTCAGCTTTCTACCACTTTGCAGACAGATAGCTGAAGACTACTATATCCTTCCAGCTGCTGGTTTGCAACTGGCACTAAAGCAAAGAAAAGAACAGCAAGCAGCAATTACATACAGAAGCATGAGAGGGAAGCAAAAAATAAAACAGTGGGCAAGAAACCAGCTGGAGGGTTAAAGTGATAATCAGCTTGGATAAAACATACAAAGAGGACAGAGAAAAGAGTATTATTTCAGGATAACATGGAAAGGAAGAGAGAGAACCCAATCCTGTAAGATTTATACATTTATAGATGCAGAGACAAAAGCATCTACATAAACACAAAAGGAGTGCTTAAGCACATTACGGGTGTTTATAGTAACCACGCAGCAGTGGGACTTCCACTATCCTCTGAACAATTATTTTAATCAGACAGAAAGAAGGAATGAAGAAGGGAAGAATGGATTCTCCTGAACCAGCAGCTCTTTGAAAGCTGAGCCACTGAATGTTTATCTACATGACAAGCATCTTTCAATAGCTTTGCTACAGCCTATGAAGTGATCAGCTGTGCAGTATTTAACTAAAAATATGTTCCAAAATGTAGGTATATTCCCTTCAACATGGATCATGCAATCCCCAAATCGCTGGCCCGTTTAAGGAAGCATCCTTTGGCCACTACATGCTTTGACACGAAACTGTAAATACACAAAAGTCACACACACACTTAAGAGTATGCTGTAAAGTATGGTTCTACTTAAAGGATTAAAAATTTTCTACGTTTCTGAAGTTCTTATAATAAGGTATTTGTGGTTAAAAAAAATACAGAAATTGGTTTTAGAAACTCAAACACTATGTATGCAGGCACCTCAATTCTGTGAGGGCCACTGTAAATTCACATTAAGAAAACAGAAAGTAATTTTTAAATAGCACTTTAGTGCAATCAGCATCTGGAAACATGGAAAGCCAGCTCACTGTTATCTACTGTCTTTGTAAATTATCAGACACTTCACTGAACACTGCCTGGCAAATCTCTCTTCTAGGTATGCTTCATACCTCTCTCTAATAACACAGACCAAGAAGAAAAAAAAAAAAGGGTATTAGATAAAGAGAAGAAAAAGTGTGAAAATTAAGAATAAACTTAGTTTGTGAAGTTCCTAATATGTATACAATTTTGAATCTAACAAAATCCAAAGGAAACAAGAATGAAGGTAACTTAAGACTGTTAATAGCAGTCTTAAATGGAAATAGGTTTTAACAAAATATTTAGCCAGCGCAAGCATTGTTTGAGGGCACTTCTTTCACTTAAGCTTTAATCCTAAAACTGTTAAAAGATAAAGAAAGCTACAAAATGGGACGTTACAGATGATTTCATTAAACTTGCTACTTCTCACAACCACTTCTTCCAAATAGTTTGAACAGTAAAGAGGGTAACTTTATGATTATACATTGAATTTTTTAGTACTGCTTTTAAAAACTGGTTAAAAGGCTTTCCACTTATTAAAACATTCTCAGATACTCAGGAGCAACTTTCTAGGAAAGTTCTAAACATGTTCCTCTCAGTTTTCAATACCAGTTCCTCTAATGAAAAACAGGATGCTCTCTTCATGCACCTCCCTAGTATTCCACCTCTGGGTACCCATTATGGTTAAGAGCTGGTTGGCCAACTGTCTGGGGAGCTGACCTCTACCCATGTATACTTAGTCCAAGTTATTAGACTGCGTTCTAATATTCACAAGATTTGGCTTTTAAAATGATAACGTCCTAAAGCTAGCACTGCTTTTAGCGTTGCAGAGTCACTAAAAACAAAAAAAAAAAACCAAAAATAACCCCACAGCGTGATTGTTCCAGAGATGCTACTTCAGCCAGAACAGCCTCCGCTGATGCCTAAACTGAGTGGGATGGAACGGAGTACTCTCTTGACCTCTACTCCTGAGACCTCTACTTCCACCAAAAGGGCAGTTAAAGTTCTGCAGCCATGTTTGTAAGAGGTGATGTGATCAAGGACCAAGTCATCAATTCCAAGTACAAGATGCAACACATTTAAATATTCAAAACACAAGTTTTTCACTGTTACCTTGCTTTTGTTCTTCTCTTGACCCTGTTCAAATAAACTGTCCTGCCCACTCTGAGTAAAGTGCAGGCTGCTACTAGAAACCTGAGGCTCTTTGTGACTGTCTCCAAACCAAGAGAAAGGCATGCAGGTAGGTACAGGGGAATCCGAATCTGATGCAGATAGATTGTTGCCAGAGTCATCCAACAGTTCTCTGGAACCTCTGAAATAAGCAGATTAAATTGTGTTAAAAAATTCCTCATTGTACATGTTTCAGGGCACAGTTGGTGAAAAATCGATACTTGCCTTCAAAGACACAAACAAAATAACGTGGGTTACTGAAAAACAGAAATTGAAGAGCTTTTGCAATATTTCTCAAAACAATTTACCAGTTTCAAATATTTGCAACTTGAATTTACTCAACATTAGCTTTCCTAAGCAAAATATATATTTTTTTTAAATTCAAGACTGGGTAAAACTTACTACTCTTATGATATGTGCCACTGTTTCCCTCTACATCATTCTTCTTATTTTATGTTATTTTTCTTATTTCATGAGACTAGAAGCTCATCTCCACGTTAACATGTTAATGTTTCAGAACTTTGCTGCTGTTACACTTGGAGGTACTTTAAGGTCCATGTAGCAATGACAATTGCAAAGAAATTTCTGAGTTTAAAATTTTAAGAATGCAGTATGCATTTTTTTAAAAAAATAAAAACAACAGTACCTGCTATCCAGAGAACCTCTCAGATTTTCTTTTTCCTGTTTCTTGCCCTTGCCCCCGGATTTCCGTAATCCTCTAAAGTGGAAAAATACCATTTTTATATAGTGTTTACATTTACACAGTGTGACTTTTTTTTTTGTTTTGTTTTTTAAATCAGTGAGCTAAACATATCTTTTTTTACATCAGTTTCAACAGTTACAAAATGCCACATTCCTGTTGTTTCACAGAGGAATTACAGATTATGCAGACTATGCATGTAATTAAAGGTGTACCGTTACTCATATTTCATTTAAGAACTATGGAAGAATTCTGAAAATACCCTTCAAAGAGCACATATAATCAAAGCTTAATATCCAGTGGATATATTCAACAGGAAGAATACAATTTTACCGCTATATAAATGTGCGTATAGAGAGTGACTTGAACTAATAACAATTTCTCTGTATGTCAAATAATTTGATTATCCTCTTCACACTATATGATTTATTTGTTATAGTATTAGTCTAAAGTCTTTTTTGATGTTAGCTGACTTCAATGAGCTTTATACCTGGTAGAGAAGAGGCAGCAAGGCTTCTTGCAAAATTTACCAAGAATTTAACTGCACTCCCTAGAGTTCAGTTACCACATACTATACTTCCAGAAAATACGCAGCTCATAGTTTTGTTTCTCCCTGTTCCCATTCTAATCTTCTAAAT